ACAATGGTATCAATAGTTATTTGATTCATGATAGTTTAAAAATTGAGTTGGTCATCTAAGGATAGGTCATTAAGGTTTAAATGAATTGATATGAAATTCAATACCAATTAATGAAATACCTTGATTAATTGATCTATAAATGATATTATAATTGAAAGATTTCAAAATTAATATGATTTCATTATCTTGATATTCATTATTCCCATGATTACACTCCTGACATGTTGAATGATATCAAGTTGTCATGAAACTGATACAGTAGTGTTTATTCACCATCAGTAAGGTACTGTATCAATTACATAATGATCTGTATAGTAGATGTCATTGTCACATCCCTGTAGGTATCAAGTGGATCAGCCATGTACCATGTATGATATGGATGAATGTCAAAATGGGTTTGGATCCCATGTCAACCCCTATTTATTAAGCTTTTCTCCTTAAATACATTAACAATATATATCACAAATGATGTCAAAAGATGGTGATGGTAATGGGGCACAATATACGGCTGATGTGAAATTGTTAAATATTTATATATATCAAGTTATGATGGTGGCTAGTGGCAATAAAATCACTTGATCAAAATTATTTTTGCCGGTTGATCAAACCGAAAAACGCGCGGAAAAGTTAAAAATAGATTCAAGTTGATGTGAAAAGTGTTTGGGTTTGGGTTTGGGTTTGGGTTTGGGTTTGGGTTTGGGTTTGGGTTTGGGTTTGGGTTTGGGTTTGGGTTTGGGTTTGGGTTTGGGTTTGGGTTTGGGTTTGGGTTTGGGTTTGGGTTTGGGTTTGGGTTGGGTTTGGGTTTGGGTTTGGGTTTGGGTTTGGGTTTGGGTTTGGGTTTGGGTTTGGGTTTGGGTTGGGGTTTGGGTTTGGGTTTGGGTTTGGGTTTGGGTTTGGGTTTGGGTTTGGGTTTGGGTTTGGGTTTGGGTTTGGGTTTGGGTTGGGTTTGGGTTTGGGTTTGGGTTTGGGTTTGGGTTTGGGTTTGGGTTTGGGTTTGGGTTTGGGTTTGGGTTTGGGTTTGGGTTTGGGTTTGGGTTTGGGTTGGGTTTGGGTTTGGGTTTGGGTTTGGGTTTGGGTTTGGGTTTGGGT